GAACCGATCACAAACCCCACCCTCACACCTGCCTACCACCCCCTCCCCTGCCTCTGCCAGTGATCTCACCCGCCTGCCTTGATTACCAGCGCCCCGCGACTTTACCACTCTCACCATCTCGACCGCCCCCACAGCCGCCATCGCCCCTCACTGCCAGATCCAGGACGCCCACGACGCGTAACCCGCAGAGCGAGGGGCACGACCCCGGGGCCGAAATAGAACGATTGCGGCTCAGCGTCAGCCTCCTGTCCAGAAGAGGAAGTCAAATCCACACGCCCCGTTGCTCATCGCGTTGGCGGGCGCTCCAGTTGAGCGGGGCTATTCGTTAGCGGATACAGCGGCCGTGTCTGACGCGCCCCGCCTTCGCGGGAGGCCGTCGGCGCTGATCCGCCTCCGCGTGCGAGGGAGAAACCCACACGGAAGAGGAGGAGGAAATTGCCCGTTTGTGCGGCGATGCACGCGCGCGCGAAGTGTGCGCTTTATGCTTGTGCAACGGGGCGAGCCAGCAAATTGATGATTACGCCGCTTACGATAACGAAGACATTGTTTAAATTAGGATGGAAAATTGTTTTGACGACGGGAACTAAGCTCGTTTTTTGTGAGTGACCTCAATGCAGTTGTAGTCAAAATGATTGTAACTAATTACGTCAGAGAAGAGCTTACTCTCTTTTCAGCGCCTTTAGGTATCTTTCCCCTTATTTGCTCGTTTGAATCATAACGTAATTTGTTTCTTTCAGAACTCGTAAATCGTGGGGTCACAGTAGTTTTGCTATTCAGTTGTATTCGTGTATACAGTGCTTCTGCGTAGCCGTTTGTGAAGGATATTTATCCGTAATTGGAAATGTTCATCAATACGTGTTCTAGTAACTTGACTTCTCTAGGTATTACGCATCATTAGAATGAATGATGTATCTTTTAAATCATATCATAAAAATAAGAAAGTTGTGTGGATAATTTTGTCACATTTCAGGGACGCCATTTAAGTTGAAGGATATAGTAGAAGAATTACTACGAGTAATTCTGTTTTGTTTTTGTTTTTAGAATTGGAAGGTAAATTTCTGATTTTCTTACTAAATGGTTGTTCAAAAAGTTATTTTTAAATGATTGTATGTACTGATAATGTTCCCAGGATATTGGTCAATACGAAACTTGCAGCACAGGGCTGCAGCTCAGCGTTGCAGCTCAGGGCTGTGTTATTTGGATAACTCGAATCGATGCCGTTTGTTCATGCTCTTTGAAACGTAGTATGCGTGGTTGGTTGTTGAATGGCTCTTGTTTGTGCGCAGGAGCACCGAAGAAGAGGAGCTGGAGGCAGAGGCGCTCGAGGCGGTGACATCAAGGAAGGAGGTGATGCTGCTGGTGGTGTCGGATTCTCAGGAAACAGCAGCACTCGATATTTTAGACCGCGCACTCGCCCTGGTACAGGTATGCCGAATCTTCTTCATTTTCATTTTCATTGTCATTGGCCCGCCACTGACTAGAATGTTGTATGGATTTGTTTCTTAGGGACTCGGAATAATGAATCAATCATGAAAACGTAGTGACAACCTTCATTTTTGTCGTTCTTAAATCGGCGAAAAAACAAAGTTTGTACTATACCAAATATTTCTAATTTAGTATATTCCTAATGCCTTTTAAACATAAAGTGTAGTTCTGTGAACACATCTGTACAGCGTTTAGGTGTTAATAATTGTGTTCGCGGAAAGTTCTAAGCGTTTGATTAAGATAAATTTGCAAAGAATTTCTAGAACTTTGACCACCTTCAATTACGGTTGGCAGCAGGTAAGACAGCTCGTTTGGTGAACCGAAATGCGGCCGAGAAAGCTCACATGAAAATATGAACATGGCAGCACTGCAGCTACCACAATCGCAATTCCGTTGTACATTTACTTAACAATGACCGCAACCTGTTTCTATCTCTCAGAACCATTTTGTTAAGTGTGTCCTGGGAGGGAGATTATAGGAGACATGCCTCCTCCTGAAAATACACAGGCAAAACATTTTTAATCGCACAAGAATGTGATTCAAAATGATATATTATTTCTTAATTCATTTGAACACTTTACGTAATTTTGTAATGTATTATTTTTAACGCTGCTTCCAAATTCAAATTCTATTCAAGTACCTCTAGTAGAAAATGTTATAAAATTGGTTTAATTATTATTTTGAAATTGTTTATAAAATGAAATTCGCAAAGTAAACATAAATGTTGAGAAACGCGCGCCAGCAAAGTCTCTTCGCAGTGTCACCTTGCTGGTGAGAATGCTAACAACATAAATTATGTTAGTAGCTCGAGCAGCAGCTTGAAAATGTAAATTCCGTAGCTATCAGAATCATAATACTTGTTGTAAGTGTTGTCCCCTTGACTTGTTTTCCCAGTGATCTGGCTGCTACCAATATATCTGCAATTTTTAATGGGAGGCCCGGGTTCGGCTCGATGCGGAGAGACTGTCCTGGCGCACGTTAGTTACTATATTATTT